TTCGCATTTGCAAAATATTAGCTATCTATAAAGTATATATTATGTATATTAAATATCTATTAGAAACCTATAAAAAAAAATGTCGCAACCGATGTGTCCACGATTGTACACAACTCCAATGGCGTTATTAAGATATTCTATTATTTATTAAAAAGCATTATTTATTGATAAAAACATCTTTTTTTCATTACTCAAATATAGAGTAAAATATTGTTGAACTTTTGAAATTATTCCATTTCATTTTAAGTGAAAAAAATTCTTAAAAATCACTGTTCTTTTTTTTAGTCTTGTAAAGTAGATTCCTTTAAATAAAAATCGTTGGTTAAACGAGAAATGAACGTACTTGTCCCGTTTTATCATCTCGTTCTGATCAACGTTTGCCTCATTTTGATCAACGGAGATGCTACCAATCTTGCATCGTCGCTCAACTCGCACGGTGCTCCCGGACGAAATCGCGGACCGAGCTGTGAACGGTTCGAGAGGCAACGCGGCATTCGGAAAGGACGTCGAGTAACATCTATAGGTGCTCTGTCCCGGATGTTCATTCGCGTGATCAGAGCTCGTTGTATCCTTCGCGACGGCAGACAAATCGATCGCCGAAGCGTTGGAGTCGCAACGATTTGCGTCGATCACGTCTCCATTATGACACTCTGCGAAAAAAAAGTGAAGTATCGTGATGGGAATTCAGTCAAAGAAGCTTGAAATTTTCAAAGTTAGAGGATGTTTCTGCATTAATTATAATAAATTAATTATAATAAAGCTACGCTATTAATTCCGGTTTCGCACAATATTATTGCCATTCCTCCATCCCTTTCTATTACTATCCATATCCGGTTCGGCTGGAAATTATTTATAAATTTTAATATCTCTCAAAATTTTTCTTGTTGAAACTTGAAAAGGATCTTTTTAAAAGATCGAGTTTCCTTGATCTTCTAATTTAGAAACAGCTATTTGACAGCGACCTTCCTGCTCGTAATCGCTCTCGGGCCCTCCTTCGCTGACGGATTCCGTGTAAATGGCCGGGTTGATGTAACGGATCTCGGGGCCAGAACTCGAGTTTTTCACTTGCGATGTCAGTGCCGCATCTCCGCCGAAATCGGTATGATCGACGAGACCAAATCTCTTTCGAGCGAATCCCGTCTTCCAGCTGTCAACGTCGCTATCATTGATCATCGTTGGGCGCCTTTGACGATAACTCATTGATGGCATTTATTATCGCTTGACGTGACACACAATCATAGCTATGACGCTTCGTTACGATTCAACTATGCGCGTAAATATTTCTTACGGAAACGTCGTTACTCGTTCGAGAAGCCATTCACGTACGACTCGTACGAGATTCATCCATGATGAATTCGATACTGCGATTCGATTTTTTGGAGAACAATGACGAATCCTTTAAAATATCGAATACGTTTATAACGTATGTATAACACACGTTAAAATGAGAAAGATATAATATAAAATTTCTCATTTATCAACAATTATTGATTTTAATACGCAATTTATCGGAAATCGTGATTTATTGGAGAAAGATAAAATAAATTTTTTATATATTTCGAAATTGCACTTATACAATACATATTAAACTTTGAGTACCATATATAAAATATATCTTAGGTGCTGTGCAATACTTTAGAAATTAATATTTAAAATTGTTTTATAAAAACAAATTTATGTGACCGTATTTTATATAAATCTCAAAGATTTTATTTCAGAAATACAAGATTAAAAATTCTAAAGTTTCGCCTTTTTTTTAAGCAAAAAAGATTTTCTCTTCGAACTCGGGTCAGTAAATAAAAAATAAAACATAAATGCGCAGCTTGTTCGTACTTTTCATTAAAACTTACATCTGAATTTTACATAATTGCTTTTGATGAAATTGGAAGGAATACGTACTTTATTATATGATAGTTAATTTAAAGCTATATTTGTATATGATATCAATATTTTGAAACAAATTGGACATAAAAAATTAATTAAATTTTTTAACCTTTTTCCGTTTAAGAGATTAAGAAGAAAATGATAATTTTATAGAATTTTTTACATATATATTATTTCTAAAATAAGGCTTTTGAGATCATATGACTTCTAAAATAATCTCGAAAATCAATTCTTATATTATTGGACAGTACTCTTAAGAAACTATTTTGTATAACAATATGGTATATTCTTTTACGTTTTCTGAAATGATGACTTTCGACTAACAATAAGAACATAAAAAATTATAGAGTGTAAGTTTTCAAAATGTCAAAATAGGAAAAGTCAAAATAGGAAAGATAGCAAATAACAAATGCTTTAAACTTAATTTGCAATTTTTTTTTTCCAAGACTAACATATCCTTCAGTCTTACAAATGTCCTATTTTTTCTTATTTTTGAATGACAACCGATAAATTGATTTTATTACTTTAATAAAGCTAGCACTAGACTAGGAGTTTTTCCAACAAGAGACATTCAAGTTGACAGTGTATCATTTTATCCTTATTTAACATTGACAAACAACAAGGATGAATGATTCACTGTGTTATATGCTGTGCCATCTGTCTCTTGCTGGAAAATGCAATATTCACAGTTCGTTCTATTTCAAGATCGTCTCAAGATGCTAATATAGTTCAATGACTGGTTTATGATATCTTAAGATTGTATTTAAGACGGTCTCTCGATTATGAAAATCGATCTATGCTATGAATCTATGAATGATTCATGATTCGCGATTTGTAATTCATTTAATGTAGTTCTATGGATAGCCTTAAGATTACATTCAGCTATGAAATGAAGTATTTTTAAATCGTACTTAAAACAATCTTAAATATAAGATCTGTGATATCGGATTATATACTAATATGAATTAATTTATTCATGGCGATTTCGACTCTTTGGTTTCATTAAAAAAAAAAAACGCTTCACTGGTACGAATAAACAATGAATGCAAACTCGACGAATCTGTTCATTAATATTCACGCATCTCAAATAAATAGCAAAATGCAAATTCTAAACTATTGAATCACTCATAGTCCGGTGCTAGTTTTAAATAATATGATAACATACGTGTAACAATAATAATTATAATATTGTAAAATAATATTGTACATTTTATACATATTTTCATCCTGCTTATAAGAGCTGCACTAACTATACCTTATAAACATTGTGTACATAATTAATTGTACCTTTGATAAATAAAAACTAACGATCGAATAATGATGAAACAATTTGATGAAATTTATACAAATGATCAATGATAACTTAATAAAAATGTTTGGACGAAAAAAAAAACAATATCTTGCTACTTTGTTTTTGTACAAGTTTTTTCTTTCAATTCCCAACAAGATTCCCAAAACTCTTTAAGCCTGTTGTCTCCATTGGAACAGAAGTGTCGAAAATCCTGTATAATTTTCTTCTGAAAAAATTCGTCACCCGCCGAAAGAGACAATGATTTCCACTTGCGGCTGACCATATGATTCCAAGACCACAAAAAGCCCATCTAGAATTAGTAACAATTGTAATTTTTATTAGATAAAAAAACTTTGTATACATTTTTTCAAAAAATATACTATTGAAAGAGTATAATAGTTGTGAAATATGCTAGAATATTTTTCCTTATTTTATTCATATTCTTCTTATATTTTATATCTTAGTGAGAATTCTCTATGATTAATCTTCGATTGTCACATCTTTTTTTTATCAAGTTTATCATTTAGTCAAATCAATTTTTAAAAGGCTGCCGTTTAAAAACTAACAGTTTAATTGGATCGCAAAAATTGTTAAACAGAGTTCGAACATTGTAGAATGTATTCTGATAGAATTTAAAATTAAAATGGCATTGTATTGAAACAAATTCTTAAAAGAAAGTAAGTTTTGAGAAAAATTATTTTTCAACGTAAAAAACTGGGGTCATTTTGTCAATGTATGTATGACAATGTTGTATGACAACCGAAGGCTAATTGCTAAGCTTGAATGATCGTCTAGGTATGTGATAAGATCACTTACTTTCCTATCTACGCTATGATCGTCCTTCTTTCCGCCAACATGTCTAGTAATGTACGCTTCGTGCGGACTAGACTGCTCCTGATGAACCGGATATCTTTTCTGCCCTGTATTTCGTCGCACGACATTGGTACCCGTTCGTGGACGCGGCCGAGTATTCGTGGTAGATGGCACTAATATGAATGCATTACCCGTGATGTGAACGTACTGACGGTCATTTTCGGTATTTTCGACTAAACATGGCATGAAGCCGAATCTCTGCAGAATTGCTTCTTGAAATAAAAATAGCCTTTGCACATAGGTATCTTCTCGGAATTCTGTAAATTTGTATTCATTGTCTTTATTAAATAGAATTTTTCAAATAGGTTTTTTTTTAACGAGAGTGATAATACAAATTTTTTTGAAAGACAAACCTTCAAAAAGATGTAGCTTATTTGCCATCAAGCATTCCGTATCGAGTGGTATGAAAATAGGCCCTCTGAGAGGATCGCTTTTTAAGGTATATGGTAGTGCCAATAAATCACTGGGAATCGGTATCATCTGTATCCCGCACATTTGAGCCTTGCGTTGCCAAACGAATATCTTACAGACGAATATTGATTATTATTAACAATTTTACATTGCATTCACTTCTTTTAATAAAAAAAAAAAAAGAAAGAAGGAAACAAGTACTTACCAGATCAGCCACTATACTGCCGGATGATGCCACCCATTGTACTACGAGTTCATAAGAATTATCTACTTTGTAAATAGACTGATATCTTAAATGACCCCATTCGATCCTGTCACTTTTACTATTGATGTCGATATCCAGATGAGTATGTTTATATAAATTATATGGCACTGAAAGAGAATAAATTATATTGTAGAATGGCTCGCTTTATATATATTTATACTTCATCGCGCGATGTGAATCTTCACAGATAATTATTTTGCAAATATTTTGTTATATTTATATACACAAATATATATTTAAATTCATTGTAAATTAAAGATTAACTTGTTTTTGTATTTTAAAATATTTGTAATGTTGTGATATGAAAGGGGGAAACACATGCATAAATCGCGTGCTGAATATTTTTAGTGTTACCTGTCCAATTTCTGTCATCTATCGATTCTGTCAAATCGATGTCATCTCTCAGAAAAGATGGAACGTTAGATTCGTCAATAGCGTCGCAATTAGGAATTGTGAAAGTTGACACTGTTGTCGAAGACGTTGGTTCACACCATCCTTTCGGCGGTCTCATCTCTACCTCCACCCACTCGTTCTCAAAACTTTGCAGATTTCCAAGCGGAGCGGAATAGTCTGCGGCTGTTATAAAGAAAAAAATGTGAATTAAATTGCGAATCAAAAATTCGATCGCATTATTTACCTTTTTGATTTTCTTTATCCTGCACGATATGATACAAATAAAATCCTAAGACAAATGGTTGTGAGAAGTCGCCGGATGCATGGCATATCAATTTGTCTTGAATCATTCCCTGCATAAAGATAAATTATTATTATATTCAATTTTATTCACAACAAAGCTTTAAATAAAACGTTTAAGCTTTAATTAATATCTTTTTTTGTTTAAGCGCAATGAAATATGCAAATATTTTCTAAAATAAAAGTTTTTGCTTTAAGTAGTATTCTACCTATTAAAGAAAATATAGTATATGTTAATAGAAAATAAATTTCCATTCCAATGTATCTATGTTACAATGTTTTCTAATTACTCAAAGATGTATAGAGATATGCAATGTATGCAATATATCACACGAGATACTATTAAAGATCGACAATATTATGAGAATTAACGTGATTGTTAAAATTTAAACAACAGCCCATAATATAAAATTGATTTTGTGATTTATTATTGGACTAATATTTTTAGACATGTATATATATTTACAACTTGCTAATATTTAATTTTATTTAAAGTAGCATTTTTGTAGTTACAATCTGTGTTTGATTACACGTGTTTAATTTCAAAAATGATAATTATAGAAAAAATTGTAATTTTGTGGCAATACAATGATATTATAGCTTTATATAAGTACGCATATTTATTTATAAAGCATTTGTATAATAAAAAAATCATAATTTTAATAATACATTATTCAAATATCTATGTGTAATAATGATAAATTTAATTTAATAGTCGATATTCTTCAATTACTTCCGGGTTTCTCGGATCACGAAAATTTACTCGAGGTTGACAGTTTAGTCTAGTTTAATAGTATCTCATTCGTGAATATATAAGTTGAAATAAAGTACAAGATAATATCAAATTTAAATTGTAAACAGATAACAAAATTCATCTAAATTTTCACCTTCATGATATTAATACCCTGTTCGACTCCCATGCCGCCTTCTATGTGATTATTTAACCATTGGATTGCATCGGCGCTAACAAATGTTTGACTGGGGAGCGATGGATGTTGTGTTAAGAAGCCGACACCAGTTTGAGGGTGTTTCATAGCCTCCAGAATTTCCACGTTCGTCGCATTACTTTTTATCTTGGTCAGTTCCTGATTTGCACTAAACAAGTGTAATCAAGTTTATAATTTTATATATACATATACACACATACATACATACATACATACATAATATAAATATAAATATATATATATATATATATATATTTATTTGATGTTAAAATAGCCAAAGCTTATTCAGGTTTATTATTTATTTTAAATGCGGAACAAGGTGAGAACTGTCTTTCCAAATAAAGTGAAATCAATAACTCTTCGTATCATAAATCTCATAAATTTTATAATTAAAGGCTTGTTCTAAACTAATAAGTCATTAAGTATTAATAATTGACGCAACTTAACACAAAATGTTTCATAATTAACATGTCAAATAAATTATTGTATTTTGTATATAAACATCGACATTTCTTAATTACACAAAGTAACTGCCAGCAAAAATATATGCATTTGAAGCTGTTCTACTGTTAAAGCGAGTTATTAAAAAATAAGTGATATCTTTTTACCTATCATCGTTAGTGTCGAAATGATCCTGCTGCTGTTGCTCGAGCGACAACGGGAGAACAGCTTCGCTGGCAGGCGACACACGTCCTCTGTCCATCACTTTGGAACCAGATCTGAATCACGCACGAAAATAGAAAATAATTGTTAAATAATTGTACCGGCGCGCAGAAAAAAGAATGCAAAATCTACGAAGCGATTTATATTTTAATGCTACGTCAAACAAGCAAAAAGGTTTTAGTTATGTCACCTTTGCCACCAAATTAGATAAAAAAAAATTAGACAAAAACTGTCCAGAAACAATCTTCCCCACACTTTTTTTTATTGCAAGGTGATGTTATTTCAATTAGATTCTTATATATTTTATTTTTTCAAAATTTTAAAAACGAGAGATATATGAAATGCCACCGTTCTACCAAGTATCTTTTTAGTCACAGACACAAGTTAAGTTTAAATTTTATATCCTTTATGGAAAATAAATGAAGAAAGAAAATTTTCTTATTGGCAGGCCGTCGTTTATTGTAATTTAATTTTTTTTTGGCAATAATTCTCAATGAACGTCGAATAAATTCCTGTTACATTCCTGCAATTACCTAAAGATCAAGTGTGCCATTTTTATTTGCGTTTAAGCTAATCGAAAGTAAGTTAAAGTTAGTTAAGTTCTCTCTAAATTTTTTGGAGTGACTTTCACTTTTTTGGAGTAAATTTTCATTCTTTTGGAGTGAATCTCATTCCAAATGAGTAAAAATACTGTCACTCAAATGGCCGAGTGGCAGTATTTTCACTCCAAAAAATTTAGAGAGTTAATTGATCACAATGATTTCTTTTAATTTTATTAAATTTATTAAATTATGATTTTATATATTTGCGTACATAGTATACGTGTGAGACTAAAAGAATATTCGGCAATATGAGTATGAGATTAGAGCCCGAGCGTTTACATATTATAAAGTAAATTTAATGTTCAACGTTGTATGCGAATAGCTTCGTATTTTTTAATCTGAATCGCGAAAGGAATAAGAGAGTGAGACCAACCTGTTTGGCACGTGGCGAGGAGTGTCGAGGCACGTGCGGGCAGTCGCAGCGGTATTCACTACATGCCTCTCCTGTACAGAGGAGCAACAACCCCCGTCACTCCCTCACTCACTACCAAAATGCTCTAAACGGTCACACAGAGCATACATACACACATACACGCATTGCCGTTAAACCTAAGCTTATGCATCTTGTTTGTCTTCGGCACGTCGTGTATGTATGCTCTCTGAGCCGAGCATCAGTCGGAACAGAAAAAAGATGAAAGAAGCTGAAAAGTACAAAAACTATGTGGGGTGGGAGGGGGGGTGTCCCTTTACACTCTCTCGCTTTTTTCCTAATGCGTCGCACCTGCTCCACATTGAGTAGCATCGTTAGGATATTAATCAAGGTGTCGCGGCGGTTGTTACCAAAGCCCATGAACAAAAATGCGAAACAAGGATAATTTGTTGTAAAACTCAAGTATACTTAATATAAAAACCACGCAAAATAAGAAAAAAAGACATGCACGATAACAACAATGGGGCTGTAAAACGTTGTATGCAATGTTTGTATCAGATGTACCAGTGCATCCTTTTTTTTAGTTGTGCTTCTGATCTTAGTAAGAGTATGGAGCAATCACCAAAAGCGTTAAACTGAAAAGAAATTGCTTTAATATACACATTATAAACCAATATCCAAATTCTAATAAAGCGTCAAAGAATAGTTTATTAATTATATTATGTTATATTTATGCTACATATCATCATTTCGCATTTCAGTATCAAACATTGCTTTTCACCTTTATTTAAGTCTGCATATTAATTACTCTCTCATATTGAAGATTCGTCTAAAATGCACAGTGAAAATATGTAGCATTGATAAAATAATGTGTGTTTCTCGCAAAATCAATAAGCCAATTAAATACAACGTGATGCAAAAGTATCTCACTTTCAAAGATTGAATATTTGCCGTATATAATAAAACCAAGCAAAAATGAAAACCATCGACACACCAATTTGGAATAGTCCACTGAAAAAAACTGAACAAAAGAGGAGTCCGCAAAACTACGCAAAGGTAAAGATTGGCGCAAAGCAACAATGTTGAAATCATCAAGGTAGACGTATTTCAAACCTTGGTCTCGGCTTCTCTGGCAGACGGTTGCTCCCGAGTCGCTCCCTGAAAGGAGAGCTGCCGACTAGATTGGTCTGGAAAGTATGATGACATGTATGGGTATAACTGTGAATGGTAATGATTCAAGCGCTGATGATATTGTGAAGATGTATATGTAACTAGAATATTCAACATTAAAAAGTGTCGCTCTCGTTCAAGACGTTAGATCATATATGTATATATACGTATACATACACATACATATACACACGCATATACATATATATATATATATATATATATATATATATATATACATATATAACGAGAGAAAAAAGTGTAAATCAAATACATCGTAACATCTGACGCATAACGGATAAGCTCGCTAAAAATCATAAATGCACATTTAATGCAAACTATATAAAGCACGATCACAGTTATCGTGAGATTATATTGTATTGTGTAAGCTGGCCTGATCATTCCAGGTAACACGTATCAAAGAAGCAATTTTTTTTAAAGAAATTCAGATACTTCTAGCCTTAAAAAGAAATGGGGTAAAATTGCACCAGCTGGAATCACATTCCGCATTCACGTAAAAAGAGATTTTACAAGTTACGACAAAATGTCAATGCTTTAATGTTTTGTGGCAGCCTATGAGCGTCTATTTTATACGCCCTTCGAATGACTTCTCGAAATCTCCTCTTTTTACTGTTCTGCAAAATTATCTTTCCTGCTGCAACTTTACTTCATCCGTAGTACTCTTATATCGAGAATAATATATTGTGTAAATACGACAATCCATAGAGAATCCAAAGAAATTTTCTCTTATTGTATCTCGCTCGCAATTAACTAGTCGGAAGCTCGTATATGAACGAGAATTCCAACAACTGGATTCAGTGTATCGAGGCTACAGGAGGGGAGGATATACCTGGTTAGTGAGGAATATCAGGCTCGTGCTGTGCCTGCGTCTGGTCAAATGAGAGGCAGGATCTCTTGGAGGGACACCACCTAGAGCTGTGGGGCTCTGAAACATATCATGCTGAAAACCCCTCCCCATACAAACATTCCAGCTACAAGTCTCTACTTACTCGGCATATCTATACGTATGTAATAATATCAAATTTGTAAAATCTATTCTTGTAAGTAGAGACTTTATAATAAATTGTTACTTTACAATCTTGATCTGCTAACAACGCGTACGTCTCGCAAATACTTTGATATGCATTTCGGAACGATCGTATATGTAGTATAGGTATAGGAGTATTATATATCGTTAAGTAGTAAATTAATACTGCTGAATGTTGCTATTGTACATGTTATAGGCCGACGTTAACGCAAAGTGTAAAAAAAAAGCTTTATAAAAAGCCGTGCATTCTTTTAGTTTTCTAAGTAATTGTATAGTCCTAGTGTCTTGTTTAATTCTTTCCAGCATGTTGTACAGCAATGTTTTATCTACAGACTATTGATAAAATTAAGTTTTGTCAAAAACCAATTATGTTTCGCTAATAAGATTATATTTTTTATGCTACAATAAATATGCTTACGGAAACTGCGTAATTCAAAAGTTAATAAGGTATAAATAATTGACAAAAGCATTAAAATAAATCTGCGCAAATCAATCAAATATGAGCATGCAACATTCAAATATAGTATAGAGGAGATATTTTAATTTTGATGTATTATTTTTTTTGTATATACATATATGCAAGAAAAAAACATTGCCTTCAAGAATTCTTTATACTGCCTGTTGTATGTAACACTTATTTATATCTTTTTTTTGTTTGTTTTTGTAAATATCGGAATAAAAAAAAAAGAATAGAACATATCTCCTCAAACAGCATAATTTACAACAAAACTATCAAGCAATTTGAAATAAATATTACATAGGATGGAATAACTGCAATTAAAATATTTATAAATAATAATGGGATGTCCCAAAAAGATTTACATCAGCAGCATATGTTCAAATCTTATACAACAATAAAGATTTGATTGAAAATTAATGATCAAACAAATTAAGATGGAAATTTTTGTTAAAGACAATGGAAAGTGTCTTTTCAGTATAAAGTTTTGTTATTATAATGCAATTACTTTTTGGAACGTCTTCTAATATTTGTCAAATTATTATACATTTAAAACTTCTAACAAATAATTAATTTGGGATTCATTAATTTATTTCTGTACAATAGAAAATTAGAAAAGGAAAAATTACCCAATTTTTGTTGGGATTTGGTCGTCGTATTTTGTTCAGCCATCCCTCGATGAAGCGCAGGAAGCCGTCCATCAACGATGCCTGTTCAGCATTACTAAGCGGAGTGTATATGTCGCATCTTGGAGAACCTTCTAAAATTTTGCGGGTCGCAGGATTATTATATGGTAATAAAAATACTCGAAACCTCCAATATTTGAGGGCCTGAAAGAAAACATATTTAAGATCCTGAAATAAAACGAAACGTCGAAGTTAGTATTTTTGTAATAAATAGGAAATCAGGGCTCTTATTCTCGAAAAAACTCGTACACGAAAATAGGAAAATTTATAGTATACGTAACGTATGCTATAGTATTTTCGTATATTTTCGTATGCGAAATTTTACGAGAATAAGGCCCAGACTTTTTGGTAGTCCACTCACTTCCACTAAAGCAAAATCAGTGTGACCTCGTGTGCAAATGTAATGGTCCAGATAATTCCAGTTATAGTTCTCGAGTTTCTCTGTGGTAAAAGACACCCGTGAGACTTCGTATGTGTCGTGATGTGGTGCGTGAAATCGATACTGATAGTGAATATTGAACGGCGGATAAGGGTGCCTGAAAACACAATTATTATTAATATTTGTTGCTTGAATTCGTATGTTTGTGTTGCATCGGAAAAAATTTTAATTTTAATAAAATTTACTTAAGCATGTTTTATTATGTATCAAGAAGTTTTATATATTCTATTTGTTAGTAATATTATTAGTCCATTAAAATTTTTGAAAGAGTTTAAAAAAGCTTTATTTAAACAAATAAAATATTTAAGAAAATAAACTACATAAATATTATAATTTAATTGAATCATAAAGTGATACGAAATAATAATAAAAATTTTGGCGAAATTGATCTTTGTCACAATTAAGTGACTAAAAGTGCATAAAGAAAATTATTAAATTTTAACGGAACCAGTTAATGCGTAAACAAGGTGGGTACTTAAATTTTGTAAAAGAATTCCCTGAAAATTTCCGAATTTTCCAGGAATCTTATTCAAAATTCCAGGTAAGATTAGAGAATTTCTCAATACAGCTTTAAAATAAATTAAACACTAAGAGTTCTAATAACGTATAGATCTTGATGCGTGAAACAATTTAATCTTCTCATATGTACAATAGTTACATTTCCATACAAAAATTTTTCAAACCTACGTAACGATATGTAATAACTTCACATATGTAATTATATATGTGAAGATTAAATTGTTTCACGCGCCAAGTTCTGTGTTATTAGACTCTTAATGCCTGATTTATTATTTCCGGATTATCGTTTTTTAGATTAAAGAGTCTTCATATAGTATATGTCAATTTTAAAATAAATTAACTTTCATTATCAGAGGCCTTCGGTATGGGGCCACGTTTACTTTCTAAATAAAATTAAATTTTAAAAATTCAAAAAATTTCCCTGAGTATCAGTAAAATCCCATGAGAATTCATAATTTTCAAGGGCAAAAATGAACTTCCCTGAGAATTCCAGGTTTTCCCGGTTTTTCCTGACAGTACCCATGCCCTGGTAAAAGATTCCAATATCAAATTATCAATTATATAATATAATTTACCGTGGACGGTATCTCGTAACTGTTATAGAATTATCGAATAGTGATATTTTATGAAAAGTTCTTCCAATGCTGAGCAGATATTCCTCTATAGGCTCGGATTCGGTCTGTCTGCCACGCATTACCGTACTAATCGCGGGAACAGTATTGCTGCCAGTGGTGTTGCTTTGATTCTTATTACGTGATGGTAAGATAATTAGCTGGAAACCCTTAATATAATACGATATTCATAATTATTCCAAAACACGCAGATATAATTATATAAAAGTGCATAAAACTATAAATGCTTTATTTATACTTGAGCCAAACGTTGCGAGACCAGCTCTTTAAACACCTCCACAGTTGTGAGCGGTTTCTTGTATATCGCTCGCTGTTGAGCAAAATCAGCATTAACATCGTCCGGAAGAAGATTGTAATCCGACACGACATAATCGTTTTGTAAGCTCCGCTTGTCTGGGAAGTAATCAGTAGTGATAGGCAGGCACGCGGGAATTGTTAAAGATTTCCAGTCGACTCCTGTTTCGAATAAGATTTTAAAGTAGTTGAAGCGATTAAAAAGAAAAATTATGTTCTATGTATATACAGGATGTTCACAAAAAAACCATTCAGCATTTATATAATAGATGGTACACACCATACTGAGTAAAAAAGCCTGAACATAAAGTTGAAAGCCGTTTCTGAAATGTAAACATTTTTGTATATTAGCATTTTGTAGGTGTAAAAACGTCGCGCAACAGAAATATTTTCATTAGCACGATCATACAAAAAAATGCATATCTACCATTTCTTAAGAGTAATATGCCAATATTTTTAGATACCTTATAAATACCTTATAAATGCGCAATACCTTATAAATGTATAATCACATTTAAATATTATTTGGTGATTATACATTTACAAGGTATCGTGCTAAAAATATTGGCGTATTACTCTCAAGAAATGGCAGATATTCATTTTTTTTTGTATGGTCGTGCTAATGAAAATATTTCTATTGCGCGATGTTTTTACGTCTAACATACAAAATGTTAACATTTTCAAAATTGTCAGAAACGGTTGAGCTTTCGACCTATGTTCACTAAGGCTTTTTTATTCAGTATGGTGTATACTATCTACCATATAGATGCTAAATGATTTTTTGTGAACACCTTATATGTACAGGATGTGTCATTTATCTTGACCCATCCAAATATTTCGAAAAATACGCAAGATTCGATTCCTTCCACTTTTTAAATAGAATGGTATGTTTTTTTTTAAATAATATGATTCCTTTAATTATTCTGCATATAAAAGTATTAAGGTAATGAAAGGTCATTGAAAAATCAATATTTTATGAGATATTTATGTAATACTTTATCATGCTATATTTCGACATAAAATATGAAAATCTCGTAAATTATTAATTTCTTAATAATAATAATTAATACTTTTTACACAGAATAATAAGACAAATCGAATGGTGTAAGAAAACACAGTTGCAAAAAAGCTGTAATTTTTACAAATTTTTTTTTGTAAAACAACTGTTTTCTTTATACCAGTCAATTCATTTTATTATTCTGTGCATAAAAGTAAAAGTACAATTATCAAGAAATCAATACTTTATGTCTTTTACGAGAAATATTTCATATTTCATATCGAAATATGGCATAATAAAATATTAAGTATTAAATTGATTTTATCATTATTTGTCTCTCTTCATATCCTACAACTTTTGTCTGAAAAATTTTTTATATTTTGCGTATTTTTTGAGATAGTTGGATGTGTCAAGATAAATGACACACTCTGTGTGTGTGTGTGTGTGTGTATATATATATAAGTATATATATATATATATGCAAGAAGAAACAGATAAATTGTGTAATTTTATAATCGTTATTTTCTCCTAATTTGAAAGTTTTCTAGCTTCTAGTTTCATTTGATATCTATTTCTTCCTTATGTAATAATACAGAGTAGATGCTCGATGAGATGTGTTACTTGTTTCAAATAAGTACAAGTTATTGAAATCGAATCATTGAATGATTATCATTTATAATTTTATATTTTGATCTCAAGTGTGTAATAATTGTCTTTGTAGAAAAATGCATCAACTTTAATTGTTGAGAATTGCCAGATTATCGAGAATCTACTGTGTTGCCGATCTCCCTTTACCAGTGCAAATAATATTTAGTCTGTCTTCTGACAGAACTACCGATATATAATCTTCATGATACAGAATGTTCTACATGTATGTATATTAATAATAGCACAACATTCTTCAATTTTTAGAAAAAAAATTATATTTTATAGTTTGTACATTGTACATGAATTTCTAGAAATTCTTTGAAACATTCTGTATATTTAATTCAATCTTTATCATATCGAATACGTTACCTAGTTTAAATACGTTAACAAGTTTGATTACATCAAGTACACATTACTGTACACATTTCATATTATGTTATAATTTATATATGATAAAGATTAAAAGGTCTTCTCTCTCTAAATGCATGCTGTCTGACAATTATTAGTCATAATGTGCTTAATAACAAATATTTTATAGTGATATGTCAATTTTGATTATTAAATTACGTGTGTAACACAATAGGCAACTAATAAATCTAAAATAGATACACTTATCTCTTTTATACTTCAGTGCAATAAAGTTACTCGATTAGATCTACAGAAAAGAGAGAATATAATGTAATAAGCATCTCTAAACAACTACATATCGTAGATATAGGCCTAAATATACATATATAAATGTGAAAAATCGAGGCTAATATGGTAGCACATTTTATCAGTTGAGAGGAGACATATGAAATATATAGTATAAAAAATATCAATGAGATGCGAAACAAATGTAAGCTTTACGTGAAGCAACATGTATTTAACTTACGAAAAAACAGCAAAAGAGCAGTTTTTGAAATGCTCGGCAAAGAACAAGCAGCGACCTATGCAGTAGATGAAAGTTGCTTATAGCAAAGACTTATAAGCTGAAAATTAAGCTTCAGTGCAAAGGGTTGAAAATTATCAAGAGAGAATATGTGTTTTGTATAATTAAAATAAAAAAAAAAAGAAAATCCAGAATTTAATTTTAAAATTCTGGAAGTTCTGCTGTACATGCGTCAGACACGTAGAACAATTATGGCGGAGAAATGGTGAAGAATTGTGAAGACCTATTTAATAGTGGCGCTTCTACTTCGAGCTAACGTTCCTAATATAGATAAATAAATGTATACCATAACCGGATCACAATCCCTAATAGTGTATGGCGCTAACCTATGATTGCTGTAAAACAGCATAAGTGACATCATAGTTGTACATCACACACGTAATGCGTCCAGCGTTGCATCCCAATTAGACGTACCATAGCATGGAAATAAACAACATTATTCGTACCGATGATTGATGGGCTTGTAAAAATAAATATTGGATATTTTCAAGAATGAAAATATTTCTTTATTTGCAAAATCTTTTTGCAGATGTATGAAATATATATTATCTGTATGTAATCTCATTCGATAAGGAGATGCAATTCTATGAGAACAGAGTGTAATTGTAAGATTAAGCAAAGCTATTAAAAGAAAAAAACTACTTTCTTTACTCATATAAAATAAATGCAAAATTATAAAAATAAGTGAAAAAGAAAATATGTTAAAAAGTATAAAGATTTAACGTATCATAAAAATATATTTTATATTACACAAAAAAAAAAACACATTTCTGTATATCAAGTTTTATGAGTACAATAAATGATGTCATCTATATTGGGGTAATATTTAAGATGTTTAAGATGTTCCCAAGTATTTTCATTCTTTCATAAATGTTATAAATTGAGTAATAATTTAATATTTTTTTGATCCTGATATTAAACATGTAATTGCAGTAAATTTAATTTTTCATTATCATTGCATTATCTATAAACAGGAGCAAATCTGTAGTAATTTCCAATGAACCATGTGTCCAAATCATTGTCTCTATCTTGGCTGGCTATATCTTGTTTAAAGCTAATGTGCGGTATACATTTATAAATAAATATGAAAGTTATAATATAAAATACAAAAACAAAGGAAATTAATTTTGATTATTTAATATATACTATAATTTGAAGAGCCAAAACCACAGGACTACTCCTGCTTATTATATATCGATCATATTATATAAATATCAAAAATTCTGAGTAAAATATGTAATGTATGTGATAAAAGCACAATACACGCAAGAAGCGTTACATAACTTATGGATATTGGGTATCGGAATTATATGCGTATTATGTGTAATGCAAATTGAATAACAACTTGTTATTCAATTGAACATTTTTAAATCTTATTATTCAGGATTATTCAGGAATTCTCTCTTTAGACTGTAAAAGCTTATTGATAATCATATAAGTCGATAACTTTGTTGCATTTTTAAAGCCTATAATGCATTGTAGAAGAATATTAAACTTTATATATCTATATGTTTTTCAAATAATTCAAACTACTTTTCATTATATTAATCGTCCTAACAATCTAATTATAGAAAGAAAATAATATTAAATATTTGGACGTAATAATATCTCTAATATTTCTATCATTTCCTGCAAAATGTATAGACATAAATTCAGAGAATTAGCAGAAATACTAAAGCAAACCTGTTGTTAGAGCAGGTGTCCATTCCTGTTCACCAGTGGCACCCCATAAGAGAGTAAGACTCTTATTTGTCACTACTGAAGGATTCGCAGCTTTATCTCCATTAGCAATTGTGAGAGGATTAGATCGTGGCAATTTTCCTTTCGTATCTGTAAGAACATGAAATTTATTGTTTATTTCGCAGATTTAATGCATCTTAAGAATATCCTAATTTAATAATACTAAATACTAACAATCTTGAAATCCTGTTTGAGACCCTGATCTTGAAATCTGATTTGAATTGTTCGCTCCAATTTCCATTGGGAATCCGCTTATGGTCGATGACGTAGCAGGCATATTTGGATCATTTTGTGGCTCCAAACATGTCTGCATTGGAACAGCTTGATAGTGATGTTGTTGTATTAGAACTCCTGTAGGTCCTACATTGAAGATTAATATAACTTTAATAGATTTTACATACACATATAAATATGTCATCTGCAGTTTAATATATTAATATGTAATTAATATGTAAAATAATATATATGTATTTATTATAAAATAACAGTTATTTAAATTCAACAACTTTTCAATTGTTATTCTGTATATATATATATATATATAAAAATAGAACAAAAGGATAAATATTATATTATAAAAGAAACTCGTTATTACATATATTTCATGTTCATGTCCATTTAATGGATGCATATTCATATAAAAAAAAAATAACACATTCAGTTTCAACAATTTCCTTCTGTATATGAATGACATTCAGCAATTTACAATTATACATACATAGAACAAATACAGAGTCAATTATATTTACCAATTACAAATTATTGTATTACCAATGTAAGAATTATGTTATCCATATAAAACAAGTATGATAATTACCTTTCGGAAATATGTGAGTCCAACGTCGTCTGTTGCTGGTAAGTTTAATGGTAACATGTGATGGATCGAAAGGGTTGATTAATGCCCTACCAGGCCTAAGGATATTCGTTGGCTGAGAAATTGAGTTTGTCGGACTACCTGCGCTACCAACAACAGGTCTAAAAGGCGGAGATATCTCAGAATCGGTTAAATCGTTTTTGACCGGCGTTCTGGATACACCTGAAGTTATACCAATTATTTAATAAATCTTAATGATGTAGAAAGGCTGCGTTCTGATATTCACTGCAAGTACTAAAAAACTATAATATACGTTAAGTGCACTATCGATTTTCAGTACTGGCAGTGAATATCTGAAACGCAGCCAAATTATTGCCGAACATGCACACACTTACCAGCCCTAGCCTCATTAGATTCAGTGTTATCGTCATCTGTTTTGTGTGGTATCGTTATCGCTGCACTCCGTAATGCAAGAATTGGCGGTGAATGTGTTTCAGGTGGTGGATGATGTATATCGGGATCCGACATTTTACGTTTCAAGAGTTTTAACAAATGACCATTGTTATGAGTTTCAAGGCACACCACGCTCGTCTTTTTTCTTCTTGTATTTATCCTTTGTACACTGAAATTGGAAGAAACGTCAATAAAATATATGTACTAATTTAACAAAATGACAAAAGATAATTGAATTAATTTTATACACATAAAAAATAAATACACACACGCAGAATTTTACTGTAATTCATATTTCTGTTACAAATATCTTCAAAAAGAAAAAGAACAAAAAAAATTGTTGATTGAATTTATTTATTTTATACATATAAAAAATAAACACACACATGCAGAATTTTACTGTAATTCATATTTCTGTTATAAATATCTTCAAAAAGAGAAAGAACGAAAAAAATGTTGTCGTGTTGAAAACAATATTTACAGACGTGTTATCAAATACATAAACACGTGATGCTAAATATTTATTATATTTACCTTGAAGTATGAACTGTGGGTAATTGAAACACTTGTGCATCATAAGCATCATAATCGAATAACGTATTATGCAGACATTCTCTTGGATCTTCTTGCAGAAGTCTGGTTTTACAATGTAATTTGCCATTATCCATTATATGTTTTGACATCTTTTGTGGCAGCTTTATTCGTGGTATAAACGTGGAATAAGGAATCTTCTTATTTGTAGAATAGAAACTGAGATTTATCCAGTGAGGCATGCTATAGTCATCTGGTGCATTTATGGAGGAATCTTTGTTATGAAACTAAAATCAAATATTACACATATTATTTATGTAAATAACATACATACATACATACATATATATATATATATATATATATATTTATATTATATATCTGTACTAATAGTACCTTTAGTAACGGAACTGCGTGAAGCGGTTGCTCTCCAACACACACTAAGTCACTTCCTACACCATTATCAATGATTCTCTGTTTTGTAACATTTGTCAGCTCCCTGTCAACTTCAAAGACTCCAACTCCAGGTGTAATGACTACAGATAATTGACCAGTCCTGTCAAAACTGCGATCCAAGTAATGTTTTTCGAAAACTATAAAAATACCGTAGACAAATACAGACGCAAAATGTCACGGATAAAGTAAGAAGCAAAGTAGAGAAATTACAATATATGTTTTGGTTACTCTTTACTTACCATTCAGAGACATGTTTAACACTTCCAGAAAATTGCCCTGTGCAGCAGTGGAATTTACTGCCTTAGGCATATTAATACCCGGCTTTTGGTGATATTCCAAAACGATTTTTTGATAATCGGTAAACAGTTTACGTAGTTGTACCAGGATATTACTCCAATCCTCAAATCGTTCATTTTGCACCGCAACTCTGTAAAAATCTTCATAAAATCTCCCTCTATAATCGTGTTGCAAACACTCTCGCATATGATTCGGAAATTCCTCCAAACTGGTCGCATTATAGAACGTTCTTGAGAACAGTACTATGGTAACTTCGTGATTGCTTCCGTTCTTCTTCCACTTTTGAAATAAATCCGCTAAGAATCCGTTAACCGCTTTCTCAAAGTAAAGATCTCCATGTATATCAAAGTCCCACATTTCAGAGCTCATTTGAATAAACAGGTACACCATACTCGTAGAAGATCGAAACACCACCTAAAGATCAGATTTCTTTTTATAAAAGAAAAAGATAAAGGCGCGATATTAATAAGATATTATAACTGTTCACAAACCTTAGTATCGTCAGTTATAACGCCGCAAGCAACACGATCGCCCTGTGACCACATTTCGTACACTTGACAACGTATACTACCACCACAAAACTCTATTTTCTTATTGATATACACGCAAGTGTTTACCTAAAAAAAAAAACAGGCTTATTTATATTTTTCAAAGACACACAAGAGACGATCAATTACAAATGTAAATGTAAAGCAGGGAATGGAAAGTTACTTTTTAAAAGTAAGTAGTTATTGCTTACTCGTTACCGAGTAAAAAAAGTAACTAGTTACCGTTATTAGTTACTGATTTTGAAAAATAACTCGTTAATGTTACCATTACTTTTCTGTTACTTTTTTAATGCTGAAAGACAAGATCAGTCTAAATAATTTAAGATACAAATTTTGTGTTTTAATATTAATGAAAGCAATACAACAATGGCACAAAATATATAAAAATACAACTAGAAAAAGCAAAGCCTTCTCGATATGAGCTAGAGCTTCCAGCTTCATGTTTAATACTTTAAAGTGAATTTATATATTATGCATATCCAATTCTACAAACAACGCGCCAATTAAATTTTTGACTTTGAAACACAATTTAGCTGATATTTTTCACAATAAATTGTTCAAAGTATTTTAAGATGCTTATAACATTAATATTTTATTGAATATTACTTGTCGATTTAATTTGTGATATTGATTGACTTATGACATTCTTAAGATATCATAAACCAAACACAGAACCATATTAATATTTCAAGATTATTTAAAAGTCTTAAAATAAGCATAAACTATGTGAATACCAGCTAAAGATTGAAGGCTGAATATACTTATGAAAAATTTTGTCATAAATACAATAAGTAACTGTATAATTTGTTACCGTTGCCAAAAAAATGTAACTACATTACCATTACAGTTATAAAAAAAAAATAAAATAATGCCGTTACCAATCCGTTAGCAAAAAAAAGTAACTGTAACAGTAACGGCGTTACAAGTAACGAGTTACTTCCAATCCCCGATGTAAAGCGATAAAGGAATACAATACCAAGCTGTTTTTCAAACGCCACATCTCACTGCGCCCCATGTACTGATCTTTAAAAGTCAATTCTATAGAATCTAGAGCCACATCGTCCGGATTTACTATATTCATATACACGTCGGCAAACGTTCGCAGTTGAAACATCGACGCTACGTTATTCTCCACGCTGATGGTCTCGCGGCCCTGGAGGTCCTCCTTGAAAGAGGTGACTTGCAACAGCAAGCGACTGAACTCATCTTCAGGATGGTAAATCTCGACAACATCGCCGGTTTTTATGCCGGGATAATCCTTCGGGTTGATGATCAGGTCTTCCCCACTGAAATTCTTCTGATGCACTATCAGCTTGAAAAGCTTCATACTTTATCCGGCATTCTGATCTGTGGCATAGAAGTTTTAAGTAGCGTTGATATACAATAAAAAATACAAATGTATAATATTACGTATAATATTATGTATAATTAACGGAGAAATTTGTGAGTTCAACTTCGCGAAGACAATTTTCGATTATTTACGTTCCCTTCTGCTTAAAATTTACATACGTTTATATCACTATAGCGATGGTTCTATTCAGCAATTGATCGCGCTAGATCGTGCCGAAGCCCGAGACGGCCGAAGTTCTTCGAGGATATGTTTTGGTTATATTATCCCATCGGTGGATTTGCGCCTTCACCTCTCCATGAGGTTATGTATGCCTCTCCGATATATCCAATATCTTGTTAAATTAATTCTTTTCCCTTGCTCCGTATCAGATTATCTTCCCAGTCTTCTTAATCACATATGGTTAGGTGTTATCTGGATTTTTTTCAATGTTGTTCCTGATTAACCGGAATATGCTAACCTTCCGTCCAAATTGCGAGATTCCTTGTGAAATTGCAGGGCCGAATCGAATCGGAACCATTCGGAGTCATTCGGACTATTTGGAGCAAGCCGAGCGTTTTAAAATCACGATCAACATCTCTGTGAAACTTCAAGCGAGATTGACATTAATAAAAAGAGATTGAAGATAAAAAGAAAAAATTTTTATAACGAAATCCGATTGATATAATTATCGACGAGATACTATTATTATACAGTTAATTATTATTTATTGTACAGAGAGAAACCTGAGAGAGGACATGACGGTCTTTTGCATGTTACCTCAAAATGCCCTCGTGTACTAACGCCCCCTGAAGAAGTGCACGTAAACTACATAGCAACATTCACTTTTCTGCACCGCGGGTATACAATTTGTGCGTGTCCGTGTTACATCCACCTTTCGAGACCACTAGCATCCAGGGCAGGTTGTGCATCTACGCGTAAAATATAATACTCTACGTTTACGTAGACATCGTAAACTATTGTAAAAGTGTCATCTATGTAGACAGTCAGTAGACTATATATATTTA